ACTTGTGCCGACGGACAGGTGCCAAAGCTGGTTCCCTTACGCATCATGTGACACGGCGGACACATGACAATGTCCGACCACAAGGTCCCATGACAACTGAACAACCCCAAAAGGATTCTGAGAATTCTTGTTGAGCTGAGAGATAGCTCCGAAGAAAGAAAAGCTTACGAATCAACAACTCCATGAGAGTATTCGAAATCATCTGTGTCAAACAGTTATCCTCGTATAGCCGAGAGGTAGCTTGAAGATGCTAAACGAACAGTGTACCCACCAGACAAGGTGCTAAGGAAGAGCCACATCGGCAACGCCACATCATTCCCACGCCCCGATTGGTTACTGTAGACCTCCGCGGTACTGCGCGATGCCAGCAATACACTACACTACACTATGCTCCGCGCTTGTTGTACACTAAGCTTGATGATACGAAGTAGATGTCTACGCAGCAGCAAAGCCAGCTGAATAATGACAGCTGTCTTTGGTAATTAGTTGGCCAAGAACACCAAAGCATAGGAGAAGACGGGCTTAACCCATCTCTAAGTAACAAGCATCGGGGATGGAAGAGCCGGTCTGGAACCGCCACGGGCACTTAGCTCCTCCGAGAAGCCTGGGGAAGTACGCATATTTTCCAACTAGCATCTTGGGGGCAAGATCTCGGTGATCCGGTAGATTCCCCGTGTGGCTCATTCTCTTGGGAAAGGGTTGTAGTGTGGTTTCAAAGTCCAATGTCGACCATGTAGTGTACTGGGGCAGCCCTAAATCTCAAAAAACGGCAATGAGGGAGCATGAGATGACTCCGCTGTTCCCGATTATAGCAACTGATGGGCCGTGGCAAAGCGCTGAGATAAACGTGCGAGATGAGATTTGTGAGACGTGTGCAATTGGGATTTTCGGGGTCCTAGCACAGCCCTGCGTCCCTGACAGATAAGTTTCCAACTGCCGAGTAAGAGTTTCGATTCGAATGTAGAGGGTCGCTTTTGTTGGGACGGGCCAGTAGCAGTGAGTGTTCGACATGAGAGGTCAGAGCTAAACTCTCGTACCCCAGTGACAGATCTCGCTGTCCCGCTTCCCTGTGCCGCGGACTAGACGATCCAGGATGGGAATTGCCAAGACGTGTGATGAAAAGAGGCTGTGCTAAGAATGTGGACGGATCTACGGACAACTTTCTTTTGGGTGGGGGTACCAGCTACAAAAAATACGAAACTCTGCTGCTATTGGAGGCCAGAAAACTTTACTTTTCCCGTAGTGACCCTCTTAGCGTGTTCCAATTATCAGTTGCGGTGGAGGCCCGTGCTCTTCCGACTCGAAAGCTCCCAGCCGAATTGTTGTCGCGCGACTCCCCGATTCACACACTTCAGTCCCTCCACACCAAATCGGCCGTCGTGACTGGTAGTGACGGCATCATGGCCCAGACCCGTCACAGCCGGCGTATGCGCGACTTTGGCTAGCTCCTCTTTTTCCTTAGTTATTTTCTTTCCACCTGGAACGTCTTTTTCGCACAGTTTGCATTCCATTGGAGCCGACGTCGGCCAGGTGTCATGGAAATCCGAAATGTTCAGCAATGGACTGCCCTTGGGCCCTGGCCCTTGTGTGTCACGATTAGTCACGCCCCGGCTCGATAGTTCGCAGCTTTGACCAGCAACTCCAGGAAAACCAGTCAGGATGTGGACGTGCCATCACTCATGTACACTACCTCTCTTTGCTGAGCAGGCAGTACTAGTAATGTCGAAGCACGGCCAGAAAGCTACATGGTCTTGCTCTTGGACGAAAGCAAATGACTCGAGGTAGCCGACGCCAACAGAAGCCCAGAGGCATGCACAACGGTTATACGACTCAAGCCGTTGAAGCCATCAAAGTCAGCCAGTTCGGTGCGTCAAATGTCAAACGTCAAGACTTGGCCGGGTTTCATGGGAAAAGCCTGTGGGCTATGACCACATTCGAACACTTGTCGAGATCGCATGCGACCGAAGCCATCGACACGGCGGGCCGGACTCGACACGGGCTGACATCAGGACCCTGCAGCGTTGGAGAGTTCACAAAGCAGCGAGTTGATCGTATACCCGCATTTGGTGTGGCCCTTTTACCCCATATTCGTTGTCTTCTTCCGTCAGCGGTTCCATTCTTTGGTCATCACCTCCTCTGATCGTTTGGTCCCCTGCTTTCCTGTGACGGGCATCCGCTAACCCGTTTGGCTCCAAAGTACCTACGCTACGACAAGCCGAGCAGAAGCCCAGCAGAGAAGTGGTTACCCAACTGCAGGGCAAGAGGTTCGAGGCTCATGCACGCTCCCAGGGCACCCCAACCCTGGTCGGCCTGCTTGTTCTCGGTCATTCCAAGGCTTCGCTCCAGTCGTCGACCCCCAACACCCGACCCGCTACACTAGTGCCCTGTGCTCCCTGCAAACTCCACTGTCGAAGGTCGCGCCCACGGTGCCCACCCACCTAGACCCATAGCCGGCGGGGCCTGCCTGTCTTCCAGGTCGACAGGGGGGTGGAGGTACCTGATGGGAGGTACCACTGTAACGTCGAGTTGGGTACGTACCCACACTACGTACCGGACCACTCTACATTCCTTCCACTTCCTCCTCTGCCCGCACCACACTCCCGTCCTCTTACATCATTAGTTTTGGACGGACACCACGGGGCATAACATCACCCCACCAGACTCAACTACGTCTGCGCACATTAGTCACCATTCCCGGGACATCGCTTCTTCGATTATAAGAACTGTGTCGGTGCTTCGAATTCCTTCTCTTAAATTTGCCACTGGTATTCCCACCGATTGCTATCACTTACGACCAAACTAAACCACAATATTATCCTACCACTCCAATATCACTTCATACATAACACTTACCATGCCACTGATGCCGCAACCTACCTTGATGCCTTTACTACAATCTCCTTCCCCTCAACATCAACATCAACAGCAGCAACAACATCGCACGATCGGCTATCCACAGCGAACACTCTTGCCACAACAGAAGCAGCCACAGCAACAGCAGCCGCTGGCCTACCTGACAAGCAACTTCAACCCCCAGCAGTCGTCTGTGGCCTCGTTCAACTCCAGTCCGGCATTCACTACCATCAGCGATTTCGACCAAGACTTCGACCAGGACTACAGCAACTGTCCTAGTTTGACTGCATCGCCCGTGTCGACGTACTCGCTTCCTGCGTACTCCTCCACCTCGCAGCAGGGCTCGTCTTTGTCTGCCTTTGACAGCATACCCAACACCACCACAGTCCCCCGCGCCGCTCAAGGCGCTGCTGAACCTTTGTTCAACCTTTGGGCCGATCCGATGCAAACGGAAACCTGGCTACAGCCCGCCGACCAACTGACATCCAAGTCGGCTGGTCGCTATGGTCACCATCGCGAGTCCTCCCTTTCCTCACTTGGCTCAGCTGGTCCGGCATCTCCTTACTCGAACAACACGTCTAATCCGCAGATTGCCGTAACAGACTTCAACGATTTCAGCGGGTTCGAGGATCTGAACTACCACTTGGTTCCCTCCAAGGCGTCGGCCACTCTTCATCCTAGCTTTCCCGGCTATGCCAACTCGAATGCGGTGCCTATCACTGGCTACGCGCGTGCCCCTGCTGTGTCCAAGCAGAATAACAACAAGTCTTTCCGGCAAGAGCAGTCCGTTGGTTCCAACAAGCCTCGGCCTGCGCCGGTGGCGAGTTCCATCATGAGTGACTCATCTGCCACGCCAGCAGGTGAGGCCGAGGTTTCTGGACGGCAAAAGAATGGTGAGAGCCAAGAAAATACGGATCTCCCTGATCGTGACCAAAGCTTACAATTTGACGATGTAGCTGTCAACAACAACGCTCCACCCAAGTTTGATCGGACTTTGACTGATATTATGAACGACGAGCTGTACCACCCAGATCTGGTCATCACAACCTCTGCTCCGGCACCACAGCAGACTCTGACCACAAGCAACAACAATTTCAACAAAGTGGTCGAGACCGCGAACCAGCATTTGAGCGCGATGCAGTCTCCTGCGTCGAGTAACAGCTCGCCGTTCCGTCAGGGATCTCCACATTCTGCCACTCTCCACGACTTCTCCTCTTTGAACATGGCGTCACCGCAGGTTCGATTAGGCTCAGCGCAGCAGATGCGGGAAAATAGTAAAGCAGTACAGGATGCCGCCTGGCAACAGTCGCTGGCGAGACACAACCAGGACATGACACCAAAGACCATTTCGCCCAAGGACGCCTTGCTGGACTACCACGAGCCAGAAGGTGAATCCAACTTTCCCCTTTTCCCTCAGCCGGATAACCACGGCTTCAACTCGGATGCGATGAGCAAGGCACTCTCGCATCAGTCGCTTGATGGGCTGCCAAATCTGGGTGATATGTCCACTTTCAACTTCAACTTCAGCCCGTCGAACCTCGACTCTATGCCAACTTTCAACGGTCTTCAGCAGCTTCCTCAGACTCTGCAGCAATACTCTTTCGTCAACCAACCCCGACAGCCCAGCACTGTGCCGTCACTGGCGACATCAAGAATGAGCTCTGCGGAAACTGGTATCACAGACTCCCCCCGGAGCAACGTGGTCCAGCGACCGGTGGATACCCGTGCTGAGGGTGGAACTTATACGTGTACCTACCACGGCTGTCCTCTACGCTTCGACACGCCTCAGCTTCTCCAGAAGCACAAGAGAGAGGGCCATCGTCAAGCACACGGGCTAAACTCGAGGCAACCAAACGGCATGACTTCGACTAGAGTGGATACCCAAGCTGGTCCCCACCGTTGTGAGCGGATCAACCCAAGCACCGGCAAGCCGTGCAACCAGATCTTTTCCCGACCTTACGATCTTACCCGTCATGAGGACACGATCCACAATGCACGTAAGAAGAAGGTCCGTTGCGAGATTTGCACGGACGAGAAGACTTTCAGCCGTGCGGATGCGCTTACACGACATTTCCGGGTGTGCCACCCAGACGTCCCGTTCAATGGTGGAAAGCAGCGTAAGGCTCGTGGGGGTCGCAGCGGTTGAATGCTGAAAACACCCGTGTGTTCCTGATTGGCAAAAGCGTCATCGCTTCTGAAATTCAGGGTCCAATCTACCGTCATAGCGTGCAGGAACTAGACATTTTTTTGTCTTGTCGATCACATCGCCAAATTGCATTCGACTCCGTCATCAGAGCGCGATGCAATCACTTTCACAGTGATGACGTCTGCTGTTGCAGCACGCTACTGGACAGGCTGGGCTGGGCAGGCCAGAAAGGGAGGGGCTCTAGTCTAAGACATGGGCTTGCAACCCAACTTCGCCCTCTGATTGGCCGGAGTGAGTCTCCCGTGGCACCCCGCCAAAATTCAGGGTCCGTCATGGCGTCGCTCGCTGCAGGGTCTTTGGCGTTCCTTGCCGTCTTTGGCCTTTTGCGCAGTCTCTGTTCTCCGCGCTCCTGCATCATTGATTTTTGTCGGTGTTACTCAGCCACGCGGAAGGAGCAGCGAGGCCAGCCGAGCGGGTCGGAAAGATGCTGAGGAGTATTGTGTGAACACGACTGTTTCTGGCAAATCACCGGCTTCCCAAACGCTGCCTGAGGAAGCCCGAACTGGGAACGGTCTTTGTGCACCCGCCATATGACGTCATTTCCAACCTCTGGACCCGGTTGTCCACACCACGCCATTTATCATCAGCATCACTATGAAAGGGGGCACAAGTCCAGACCTGACATCAGACACGGCTTAGGCACTTTCTGAGCTTGTCCGGTACTTATCAGCGATGATTTTAGCGAGAGAAGCTACTGCGAATAGGTGGATATTCAAATGCGGGTCATTATTTTTTTTCTTTCGTTTTCATTTTTCTGCCGAGCATTTTCATCCTATCACAAGCGGGTTTGGTTTTTTCAATAGTTCGGCGTCATCGCGGGAGATCTTGTACTATTTTGGGCAAACTTATGTATTACGACTTTTCTTTTCTCGACATTTTCTGTACAGTTTACATCATTATACACTCAACTTTGGAAAGCGGGGGGTCCTAGAGTCTACAGGTATAAAAAGAGAAGAATGACGATGCTCATGACTGGAAAATGAAAACGGGACAAGGAAGGATGGAAAGAATGCAAAGAACGGCGATCTTCACAGATGCACTTTCTTTATCATGTACTATAGATAGAAATGATCAACAATCACTGAAAGCATCAAACAGAAAAGATAACACCCATCTCGTGATGACGGCGTGATTGTCGTATGTTTTGCACCGTGATACCAACTAAGGGATCTTGGACTTGGCAGCGGACAGCGGTTCCGCAGCGACCAAGAGCAGCACACTTCAACGCTATCAAATCACTGAACCTTTCAACAACCAAGATATCTTGTAAAATACCTGGATGTATTAGATAGACATCACTTGTCCGTCATCGGCGTTTGGGTTCCATATCTCTGGTGAAGCAGTACCGAGTATCCATCACCATCATCATTGACTTCATCATCGATATCATCATCGACATCATCACCATCCTCATCCTCTTCAGCCTCATCATCATCATCATCATCATCATCATCGTTATCGTCATCGCTATTGGCCAAGACTCGAATCTCAAGTACTTACCTTCCTTGTAGGCGATCTCGGGCTATCCACCCGTCTTCGAGATCTGGATCTGAATATGACAAACCCAGTGAGTTGGTAGGCTTCTTGCCCCACCAACCCACGAACCAACGGCGACCTCATTCGTATCTCCAGTAGACGCAAGTTTAATGGGGTGTCTTTTGGAGATCCTGGAACTTGGAAAGCTTGGGTTTGAGTTGTTATTCTAGTGTAGAAACTCGAGCGGAACAGAGCCGGTAATGCTGGCTGGATAGACAGATGTATGGACCGATCGATCGGTCGATGTGCTGTGTTATAGTAGTGTTACTGTGCTATTCTGTGCCATTCTGTGCGTGGCAGGAGTTGGTGGGAAATTGGATACCGAAGAGACCGTAAGGAAGACATGAACGAACACAAGTAACATGGACAAGACGGGTGGAACG